CGAAGTGGTAGAAGACTTCGGCGTTGTTACTGTCGCGAGGATTATCTTCATGCATGGGCACATCGACGGAGCAGTACGGGAGAGGTCCGGCTTCCTCCGATGCGTTGTCGACGTTTTGTTCATCCCAGTCTGCTTCGTCCGCTGCTGTTGCGAAGGCTCGGTCACCACGAAAGCCGCCTGTGGGGTCCCGGTTCTCGTGCAAGTTGGCGAGGTACGTCTGAAGGGTGAGTCTTTCGTAGAAGATCACATCACGTGCTGCTACTGTTTCTTTTGTGTGGACGTCGAAGATTCTCCACGCGTTGTAATTTTTCTCGATGCCGAGGTGTAGTCCCCACTGTGCCCGTTGCGAAAATCTTCCCGCTCGTGCTTCTGGGGGTCGGTACTGTACCATGCATCCAAATACTCGTAACATTTTTGTGCTGCCCTGCTTTCCTGTCCACAGCAGATGCGGTGATGCATTGTTCGGGAGTGACGACGACGAAAGCAAGTTGTGCAGCATGACAGCATGGTCCATTGCTGCTGGCCACTGGTGGTTGGGTAGCCGCATGCCACGTAGTAGTTTGCGCATGCTGTTCTGCAGGGTCCTGTTCATTCTTTCTGCAACACCCTGCTGCTGATGTGCGTAGGGAAGGGAGAGGAGTTGCTTGATCCCCCTTTCCACCAGGTACTGCTTGAAGCGCTGAGAGGTGTATTCGCCACCTCCGTCTGACTGGAAGCTTTTCAGCTGCGTTCCTGATTTCCTTTCTGCTACCGGTAGCCAAGCGGCGAATGCTGCGAGTGCCATGTCGCGGCTGGGTAGGTTGCGATGCCAGACGTATCGAGTGGCGGCGTCGATGAAGGTAATTGTGTAATTATAGGTTACTTGGCCTGGTTCTCGATTGTAGAGGATGTCGCTCTAGACTTTTTCGAGTGGTGCGTATGCAGGTGCGCTCGGGTTGGGGTGAGAAGAAAAGGGTCGATGTGGTAAGTCGGCCTCGGGGCAGATGAGGCAAGTCCCCCGTGCACGTTGAAGTTCTCTGTCGTCGAGTAGTAGTAGCGAGTCTTTGTCTAGCACTCCTGCTCGTATCGTATTATTTAACACCGTGTTACTTGGATGTCCTGTGCGTGCGTGCCAGATGTCTTCGGAGGCGCGGTGTCCGGGTGAACGTTGATATGCGTCGGAGTTGGAGTAGAAGCTGGCGACGAAGTTGGCGCTGCGGTGGACTTCTCGTTGAGTCGGGTTCAGCTGTTGTGCGGGTGTTGGTGGTGTTTCGTCGACGATGACTGGTGTCGTTGTTCCTGCTGCTGCCGATGTTGTTGCTGCTGCCGATGTTGTCTCTGCTGCTGCCGATGTTGTCTCTGCTGCTGCCGATGTTGTCTCTGCTGCTGTCGATTGTTGAATTGTTGCTAATGCTCGTGTTTGCTCTGCTTCAGGGATGGTGTGTGAGTACCAGAAGCCTCCTGGACTGAAATCAGGATCGAGGTCCGGAGGGTGTGTCCAGTCGGTAAAGTTGACGATGGCGTCGCTGTCTGCGGTGCCTAGGTCGGGGACGAAGTCAAGAACGAAGACGTTATTCTTCAACACTGCTTTCCCGATGTAGAGGCCGCCCCTCCCGTGGTATAACTTCAATTCCTGGGTGGTGCTGTCGGCTTCCAAGTGAATCCCCTTCGCCATCAGCTGCCTAACACTCAGTAAGTTGTAACCGAGTCCTTCTGCGATGAGTACTTTTGACATGTGTAGTATAACGTTGGTCTCTCTTGATTGAAGCTGAACGACTCCTTGTCGTCTTGTGCGCAGGTTCTGGTTGTTGGCGACCGTGATGACTACTTCTCGCTGGAGTCGATGTTCGCGTTGTACGAAGCGTCCGGAGGAGCACATGTGTTGTCCGCAGCAACTATCCAAGAACCAAGTGTCTTGGCCGGACGGTTCGCTTTGAGCGATGGCGGCGTACGTCGGATTCGGCTGGAGTGATTCGCGGCGAGGCGTCCTGTTGTCGAGCTCCTCTTCTGGTGAGTTGTAGGGTGGCGACTCTGTAATGCAGGAATCGTTTATCTTTACCATGCAGTTGACGATGCTTCTTGCTCCTTGTGCAGGTTGTCCAGTTGAAGTCGTTGAATTTTGGATCGTGGTTGTCGGACTTAGCTTGCGTTGAAGCAACTTGGGAGCTTGAAGGCCGCAGTTGTCGTTGTGGTGTCGTCTGACGAGACGGGCAATGCGTGCGAGGATGGCCCAAGGTTTTGCAGATGTGGCAGAACGGAGGTACTATTTTCACTTGCTGTTATCGATTGTTGTTGCCGTTGTGTCGTCGCTGAGTGTGAAAAGCAAATTCTGGTGCTAAAGCTTTCTTCTTGTGTCTTTCTTCTTGCAGGTCCAGGTCCTGCTGCTCAGCATGAATTTCGGCGCAGAGTGCCGCTTCGGAGATCCTCCCGTGTGCTCGTAATATGGCGCGAGTGGAGCGCCAGTGGGGGCCGAGACCGCCGATGACCACCGTGACAAAGGCGTCTTCTGAAATTGACCCGCCGCATCGAAGAAGCTTGTCGCGCAGTTCGCGGCACCGGCTGATATAAGCCATGCCTTTCTCGCCTGGTTTCATTTCAATCGTTGTCAACTGCGCCATTAACCTGCTTTGGTTTACGCTGTCTGTTGCTTGATACAGGTTCTTCAGGTGGTTGTACGCGAGCTCCGCGGAGTTGCCGTAGCCTCGGTAAATCCTGATGTTCTGCTGCTGGGTTGGGGTGGATGTTCCTCAGCAGAATCGTATACGTCATCATCGATTGATATGTATACTGCTGCTTCTCATATTGTGTCCCGTTTGTCGGATATGGCAGGGACCCGTCGAAGAAGCCAAGAATTTGTGCTCCTTCCATCATCAGTTCAAACTCGAACGACCAGGTAAAGAAATCTTTGCCGTCGAAAGGCTTTGTCGTTTGTAGTTTTAGGACGTGCGCGAATTGCGATTGGACTTGTAACGCGTCCAATGTCCTTTCTTGTCCCGATGTAGGTTGCGGTTGCGGCATGAAGCTGACGGAACCACGTTGGGGCTCGTACGGCGCAAAGGTAGGCTGCTGTTGTTGTTGTTGCATCCCGCGTGCATAGGATGAGCCGTCGAGGCTCATCGGAGTAACATTGTTGTTGTTGTTGTTGTTGTTGTTGTTGTTGTTTGACTGCGCAGGCACTCCTTGCTGGTGTTGCTCGTAGAAGGACATGAAGGAGAAAAATTTCTCCATCATGTTTGAATCGAAGCCTGCTGGTGTTTCCGTGGACCCAGCTGCTGGTCTTGCGGTAGTGCCTTCCTCTGTCTGTAGGCCAGAGGTAGGAGGTGGAGTAGGAGTAGTGCCTCGGGAGCCGTTGGAGGAGCTCCTCTCCTTCCTTGCAGACATGTCTTCTTTCTTTGTATTCAAGTATTGAGAGAGAAAATGATCTTAAACTCTAACTGCTCTCATACCATGTTGGGCTGAGAAGCCCTAGGATCTTTGTAGAGTTTAAGGACTGAGTAGGATTGTAATAGCGGAAGCGTTGAATAAAAGTGTGGTTGAACCACCTTGCACTAGTATGTGAGAGCAAAGTAAGTTGATTAAACAAGCAAATACAAAGGTTTATATAAGAGTACAAGGAATACGAATATATTTAAACCGTTTTACTGTTGCGATTTGATACAGTGCGACTCGGGCAACTGCTCAATGTCGAGTCAGTTGTGTGTCCTTGCTGTCGCGCTGTAATTGTCGAGTCAAAGGTCGCTGACCTTTGACTTTCCCGTAACCTCTAGGCGGTTACCCTAACCCCCGAGGGTTGACTCGCGATGCTTCGATTTGGGCTGCTTCGCTAGTGTCCTGAGTTTCGACACGACAGAGGCGCCTTAAGACTTATTTGTTCCCAACAGGCGCTAGGCACGCAATGCACCCCAATTTCTCGTGTTACCGTTACCACGCTCGCTTCGCTATATAGTCTTCGCTCATTCCTTCGCTCAATGGAGTTTTTGCTTCGATAGTGCAATTCTCGCTCGCTCACTCAATTGCTCTCGTAACAAAAGCCGACTTGGCCGTTGAGATTTGAGAATTAGTTCAGAGAACTACTGTGGTTGATTCTATAAATAGCCACCCGCCAAAGTGGTGTAGCTGTAATGGAAACCCGTGTACACCAATGGAGGAAGAGAGGAAGTGGCATCATTGTTTCCTCTCATTGGTGTAGCGTTCTTGACTAAACCAATCCTCCAATCACACGCTGCGACGTACATGTGGTGGTCGGTGCTGTTACACGACCCCGAACCCAGCTCCTTTCGTCCTTTCAACTTTCGCAAAACCGGCGATTCCCCAAGTTTTTTCGTCGGAACTTGCTGCTGTCACAAACCCTCTGGATGTGTTTTGGCGCCCTGCCAGATTCAAGTTTAATCCAAGGCTACCCTGTCAAACCCTAGTGTTTGAAGTAAATGAGCAGGGTCGGTGTCCTTGAGGCTCGAACTTCGCTGTATTTCGTAAATGCTCGGGCTGCGTGAAGGGTATTCCGTACAATAACCCCCTGTCCTGGTTTTGGGAAGCAATTCTTCAGATTCCTCTGAAATAGGGGTAGCCATGGTAAACCATCCTGTTATGTCATCCCGAGCCACAGTCACTGTATCGTCACTCCCAAAGCTCTCTCGTCTCCCTCTGCACCCATATCGGCCACCGCCTTGCCTCCCACACTATTGTTCCTCAACAAAACGATTGCTGGAAGGTCACTGTTTGGGAGGCGATTGTTGCATAACTTTCGTTGCAAGGCAAGATAACTTCGTATTCCAGCCTTCTGCAATGCGCTCGTGCCGCTCCTCGCGGCATTGCCTTGACTTAATGCTAGCCTCATTGCTCCTCGCATCTTTAAGAACTTGGCGATAGCCGCTTCCGTTCTCTCAGCGCACGCCGGCTGTTTTCACTGCCGTCGCTGATCATTCGCTCTTGCGTGCTAGGTCAACTTTCCGCTTGTTGGCCCTGGCCATCCGTCAATGCCTTTCGCCGTACGCTAGAGCATGCAATCTCGAAGTCGCGTAATGCTCATCGCCGATGTACGTCGTATGCGCGATCGCCGTAACTGAACAGCTCCACCTTTCTTCCGCATTGAACTCATCGCTATCCACCCGGCACAACCCCATAATCTCGCATCACTGACGTGGATAGCAGAAAAACGAAGGGTATAGGCGCGGTCGATAGCGTTCGAGGGCATCGGCTCCACATTGTCGTCGATAGCATTCGCGAGCAGGATTGGCATTCGAACTTGTACTACGGTACCGAGCAGCGCATTCTCGGCAAACCTGGAGCTCGATGAAGCGCGGCTGCGGGTAGCCGCCAGTCGCGATCGGTAGAGGCGAACGTCGATTATTAAAGTCGTGATCGGAAGAGTTTCCGCCTCTGCGAGCAGCCGTTCCGCGCTCAGCCATGGTGAGTGCAGAGCATCCCATGGTGTTGCAATGGTGTTCAATGATTGTGTGTCGGGCATCCAATGGTGTTCTGTGGGGTACCCATCGGTGAAATGTGAACATCAAGTGGTGAACGGTGTAGCATCACAAGACGACGAGGCGCGGCCGGGTGAACATACAACGTGCCGTCTGCGGCGATCTGTCCGTGACCGTCGATTTTGTGAAATCAACAGCCTTGAAATTCGAAGCGGCGGGTAGCGGCGCGCTCGCGCCCGCGACGAACGTCTGCCGGCCGACGTTGGAGTCGTTTTTGAGAATTCTCAAACGTGTTTCCCAAATGGCCGACGTGCTCCTCTTCCTGCTTTTGCCGTTGCTGCTTCGCCGCGCCAACAACAACAGCCGCGCGCAACCCTGGCGCGCAAGAAAACCCAAGAAACGTGTGACGCAGCTCGTGCGTGGCGCGTGGGACGTCTCTCATTGTCGCGCGCCGTGTCACATCGATACTTCCCCCTCTGCCACCTTCCCCGACCCAACTCCGAGCGGAGAGGGGAGGGCGGAGAGCACGTTTCTCGCTTTCCGCCCTCTTCTTCCCCCTGCCTAGCGGATGGAAGTGCGATCCAGCGCCATGTATTGTCTGTATCGTTGCCCGCTGTCCGGATTCCTCATCCATCCTCCTTTCTCTACCCCTCTTTTCCCTTGCGCAACCCCCCTTTTCCCTTGCGCTACCCCCGTTTTCCCTTGCGCTACCCCCGTTTTCCCTTGCGCTACCCCCGTTTTCCCTTGCGCTACCCCCGTTTTCCCTTGCGCTACCCCCGTTTTCCCTTGCGCTACCCCCTTTTCCCCTTGCGCTAACCCCGTTTTCCCTTGCGCTACCCCCTTTTTCCCTTGCGCTACCCCCGTTTTCCCTTGCACTACCCCTTTTCTTATCAAGTTGCACGAACCCCATTTTCCTTTGCACTACCTCCCGTTTCCCTTGCGCTACCCCCGTTTTCCCTTGCGTTACACCCAGTTTTCCTTGCCCTACCCCCTTCTCCGTTGCCCTACCCCCTTCTCCCTTGCCCTACCCCCTTCTCCCTTGCGCTACCCCCTTCTCCCTTGCCCTACCCCCTTCTCCCTTGCCCTACCCCCTTCTCCCTTGCCCTACCCCCTTCTCCCTTGCGCTACCCCCTTCTCCCTTGCGCTACCCCCTTCTCCCTTGCCCTACCCCCTTCTCCCTTGCGCTACCCCCTTCTCCCTTGCGCTACCCCCTTCTCCCTTGCGCTACCCCCTTCTCCCTTGCGCTACCCCCTTCTCCCTTGCGCTACCCCCTTCTCCCTTGCCCTACCCCCTTCTCCCTTGCCCTACTCCCTTCTCCCTTGCGCTACCCCCTTCTCCCTTGCGCTACCCCCTTCTCCCTTGCGCTACCCGCTTTTGAATGCGTGCCCCCATGCTTCCCCTGCCCAATTCGCTGTCCCGCGCATGACCCACCTTCTCCCCGCGCGGACCACCGCCGCCATCGCGATTCCCGCCTTCCTTCCCCCAACTTTCCAATCCAGATTCGCCCCATCCCTTGTCCCTTTGTTTCTTCCCCCGTCTGTCCCATCCTCGTGTAGGCCTCGCAGCAAAACGTGTCCACAGTGGGGCGGAAGTACAAGTCGAAGGTGTGCCTGCCCGATGCAGTGCGCCCATCCAATTTGGCCCCTCCTTTTGTCTTGCTCTTTCCTTTCGTCCTGCCGTCCCGCCGTTTTCTCCCCCATCCCCCCTCCCCCTTCATCCTGCAGGCCTCCCAGACGTGTGGGGTTCGTTTTAAGGTGTGGGCGCCCCGCGCAGTGCGCCAATGCAGTTCGCCCCCTCCCCTTGTCTGTTTCCATCCGGTTCTGCCTGACCTCCCCCGGTTCTGCCTGACCTTCCCCGCTTCTGCCTGTCCCCGGTGCGTGCAGGGTTCACAGCAGCACCTATCCACGGTGGGCTTCAAGGTGTGGGTGGCCGATGCCTAAACTCCTGTTGCCCAGTGCCCCGCCCGTTGCCCATTCGTTTCCTGCCCCCCTCCCCTGCCCTATCTCTCCCCGTCCTCCAGGGTTCACAGCAGCACCTGTTCACGGTGGGGTCGAAGGTGTGGGTGCCGGATGCCGCGGATGCGTGGGAGGAGGGCGAGGTGGTGGCGAGGGACCGCGGGAGCTCCCAGCTCACTGTGGCGCTCGGCACAGGCGGCAAGGGCCAGGCGAGTACGACACAAGGCATAGGAGGGGCCGGGGAACAGGGGAATGTGGGGGGGAGGGGAGGGGGAGCAGTAGCTGTACGGAACGGAGGGGGCCACAGCTCACTGTGGTGCTGGGTGGACGCTTCAAGGGCCAGGCAGGTAGGAGATGAGTCACCACGAGGGGGGTTTTGGGACAGTAGCTGTGTGGAAGGGGGAAAGGGGCAAGGATCAAAATTACGGCTATCGTATTATACGGTCCGTATAATACGGTCGTTTTTTACGGCAAGAAATTCAAAAATACGCCGTATTTTTGATAGACTGTTTTTCTGGTTTTTTTTTTTTTTTTTTTTTTTTTTTCTTTCTTTTCTTTTCCTTTTTCCCGTAGCAATGCTCTGAAAGGTACACACTACATTAGCCTAGCATAACAACAGAACAGATGGTTACAACACTACTCGACCATTCCCACTACTACCGTACCGTCCACTACTCTTTACTTTACACCTCCTACCCTATCCTATCCTTCCCTATCTCTCTCTCCTCCTCCAACCTGTAACCTTCTCTCTTCTCTACTCATCCTCCTCCTCCTCCTCCTCCTCCTCCTCCTCCTCCTCCTCCTCCTCCTCCTCCTCCTCCTCCTCCTCCTCCTCCTCATCCTCATCCGCCTCCTCCTCTTCCTCCCCACTAGACCCGTCACTAATGTCCCAAGGATCCGCGCCATTTCGAGCCTTGGTAGGCACGTTCTCCTCCTCCCCTCCACTGCTATCCGCCGCCTCCTCCTCCTCACCCTCTTCCTCTCGCACAGATGTTGCCTTCCTCTTTCCCTTGGTAGGCTTCTTGGCCTTCCCGTTTCTCTTCTTTTTAGCGGTCTTTGGCCCCTTCTTCTTCCGCTTCCCAATGTTCCCGAATAGGTCCCAATCAATGGTGCATAGCTGCTCATTCCCCTCTCCCTCCTCCTCGTCGTCCCCCACTTCCTCTTCCTCTGCTGCTGCCGGTTCCACGGCACTCCCTTGCTGGAGGGTGCCGTTGGCCAGATCGGCATAAAGCTTCTCCCTCTGCCGTGATTTCCTATCGAAAGCATCCCTGGCCCTCCTGGCGAACGCCACCTCAGTCACGTCCATCATCTTGTTGGCACTGAGGCGGTTACGGTCCCGCCTCTGCACCCGTGCAATGGCGGACCAGTAGCGTTCGACCTCAGAAGACGTGACTGGCTGTGACAGCACCGTCACAGCCATCCCCATGAGCGCTCGCAATTCCCCCCCATACATCAGCCACCACTCTGCCTCCGTCAAGCGCCCACTCGCCACCAACACCGTTGCTGCCCAACGGGCATCATCGGACCCTATCAGCCCCTCTCCTTTATGAAACTGCGCCAACAGTAGCGCGCGTTGTGCGACGTCTCCCCCACGGGCCTGGATCACCGCTTCCGCCCCAAGCCTTACCTCGGGATCGTTCTTCACCTCTTTGCCGTACTGATTGTGCGGGTTCAGAAGCCACCCCATAGCATGGAGTGGATTGTGGAGCTGGGCGTCCCACCTCCTTGCTATGATAGCCTTGATGGCGGCCAGAAAGGCCGGCTTGTCTTTGGCCGGCAAGAGAGCGGTGCGTTTCATCATCATTTTGGCTGCCCATGGGGAGAACCGGAGAGCATGAGGTGAGCACAATTGGCGGGAAGGGTATACAATAGCCAGAACGTGCGGCAATTCACAGCTTACCTGCCGCCTCTGCCGCATTGTTTGTCTTCACCGTGGCATCTAGCATGAGGCCATAGATCCGGCCCATGACTAGAGCACGGGTGTCAACCACCCGCAGCACTTCATACACGGGTGTCATGAGGCGGAGGACCGCTGTCGCGCACTCCCAAAAGACCTCATCCAAGAGGAGCTGGCGGACAGCTCGCCCCTCCTCAGACCGCGCCACCGCCACCGACTCCCACTCCTCACTGATGATCATCTCCTTGAGCGCTTTCTTTACCTCCAGGAAGCGGGCAAGCATGATAACCTGCGTGCCGAAGCGTGTTGCACCGGGCCGCACCAAGGACAAAGTGCTAAACAACTCGTGGAAGAGCGTGACGGCAGACGCGCTTCCCTTGACGATCATAACCACCCTGTGCACCTGGTTGAGCACTCGCCGCACAACACGGACCCTCCCGATGTCGTGGAGCATCAGGTCCAGGACGTGCGCCGCACAGTTGTTGAAAAACACTGCAGGAAAACCGTCCCGGAGGATGTCGGCCGCCCTACGGATGTTGGACGCATTGTCCATGACCACCTGCACCACCTTCTTGTCTCCAACCTCGGCGATTGAGGTCTGGATGAGGCCGGCCAAGTACTCCCCCGTCTTCTTCGTGGTCTTGGAGTCCACGGTCTTCACGATGACAGGCGCGGTGTCATTGTGGGCTATGACACACACGAGCCCACGGCTCTTCATGCAGGTCCAGCCGTCCACGGAGATGGTGCAGCCGCTAGTGTTCCAACTCTCCTTCAGGGGCCTTACAAGGTCCTCGGTATGCGCTACCAGTTTTTGAAGCAAAACACCAGAAACCCTGAAGGGGGATGGGAGGGTGTATTGATTCCCGAAGGCAACAGCCGCATCCACGAAGTTCAGCACGGCTGGCGACTTGGACGTGTGGAACGCCCAATCGTTATCAGCCACTGCAGTGGCCCATAGGTAGTCCAGTCGAGCGCGTGCAGAGTCATCCACCATGTCGCGGATGTCCCGCTGTCGAGTGCGACTAGAGGGCTGGATGGCTAGGGTTGAAGTGGAGCCAAGGATTGACGGAGTGGTGCTTCCAGAAAGCTCATTAGCAGCTGCTTCCTCGCGAAGTTTGATGGCGACTTCATGGGTGCACGGTGTCACATTCTTATCTTTGTCCTTCGGCGTCCCATAGATGTGCTCTCCTATGCGTGTAGCATTAGCAGTCACGGATTCGGAGCAGTGTACGCATTTCGCCGTCAAGGTGCCGTCTGGTCACTTAGTCGTTGTAACGTGCTTCCACAGCGGCGATTTCTGCCTCGCCATGGCGTACGTCCTGACTGGCACGAACCCGAGTGGAGCACCCTGAAGACTAGACTAGAGCAGAGCTAGGCTCAGAATATGATTAGGAGTGGCTAAACCGAGCTCCTAAGTACCTCGTTGTGGAAGCTGGGTGTGTTGTGTCGAGTGGGTTTTTGAAAAGGTTGAGCTCACGGGATGTATTCTGATTGGTTAGATTGGTTTCGCATCGCGACTTTTGGATGTGTCGCAACTGCGAGCGAACCAAACCTCCGCAGTACGAAAATGTTTAACGGAAATCACGAAACGTGGGGTCGAAGGGGTACCATTCGCCACATGTTAAAATGTCGCGCCTCGGGAAATTGTACACGTTCCGCTTTGGCGACTCATGCCAACGAGTTGGCGAAACACGTAAACTCGAAATTGGCCTCGCCAAATGCCCAAATGTCGCGACGCAAAAGAGTCGTGACATTCGCGACGCAGGAAAAAAACAAATTCGTGTGTACGGTTGTGAGAGAAAATCACGGTTGGGAGAAACGTGCGTGTGACACTATGATTCCTGATATACACAGACCCGGTTTCAAATTTTCGGTCGAATTATACGGTCGTATTTTTTAACCAAACACAAAAAACCTCAATCCACCGTATTAAACCGTATTATACGGTTGTATTATACGATTCCGTATTATACGGTGAAAATTCAATAATACGGTCGTAATTTTGAACCTTGGAAAGGGGACAGGTAGGTGAATCACCGTGCGGCTGGGCGGATGCGGCAAGTGACAGTGGGGTAGGAGATGGGGGAGCAGGGGAGGTGGCAGGTCAGGCCAGGCCAGGCCAGGGCAGGGCATGTGAATCACATAGAGGGATTCAGTGAGAGGGGAGGGTAGCAGAAGCAGTGTGGAAGGAAGGGCGGGAGTGAGTTGCTGACTCACCGTGGGGCTGGACAGAGGCGGCAAGGGTCAAGCGGGTTTGAAACGGGGGAGCAGGGAAGGTGGCTGGCAGGGGGGCGGGGAACATGTGAGTTGCAGAAAGGGAGTGACTCAGTCAGCGGGGGGGGGGGGGCAGGTGACTGGCAGTGAGGCTGGGAGGGGCAGGAGGGGAGTGGTGAAGACCCTTCAACTCCGTCCCCTCCTCTCTATAAAATAACACCTCTGTTCAATATAGTGTTTACCCCATGCCTTATCCCCATCCCATACGTCATTCGTGCCCCACCGTATACCATCTCCATTCATGAAAGGGCTGGAGGAGAGTAGCTTTAGCGTCTCTGAGGTGGAGGTCACCCGTGAGTCTCTCTGTACACCCCCTCTCCTCCCTCACATCCCATCCTCTTCCCCCCCTCCTCTTTCCCCTCCCCGACTCTCGTCCCTCCCTTCCCTTCCCCTCCTTTCCTTTCCCCTCTCCTCTCCTCCCCTCCCCAACCCTGCTCTCCCATCCCCTCCCTCCCGTGCCCTCACCCCTGCTGTGCGTGCCATGCGCGGCAGGTGGTGGTGGGCAAGGGCGAGTGCTACGCGCGCGAGGAGGAGAGCGCGGTGGTGGACGACATGGTCAAGCTGGCGTACCTGCACGAGCCGGGCGTGCTGCACAACCTCATGCAGCGCTACCACCGCAACCTCATCTATGTGCGTAAGGGGAGGGGGGAAGGGGCATCCCGTACATGTGCTGTGGTATGCCTGTATGTATACATGTATGTGTGCTGTGGTATGCCTGTATGTACACATGTATGTGTGCTGTGGTATGCCTGTATGTACACATGTATGTGTGCTGTGGTATGCCTGTATGTACACATGTATGTGTGCTGTGGTATGCCTGTATGTACACATGTATGTGTGCTGTGGTATGCCTGTATGTACACATGTATGTGTGCTGTGGTATGCCTGTATGTACACATGTATGTGTGCTGTGGTATGCCTGTATGTACACATGTATGTGTGCTGTGGTATGCCTGTATGTACACATGTATGTGTGCTGTGGTATGCCTGTATGTACACATGTATGTGTGCTGTGGTATGCCTGTATGTACACATGTATGTGTGCTGTGGTATGCCTGTATGTACACATGTATGTGTGCTGTGGCGCCCTGCACAAGCTCTTGTCTCCCCCTCCCCCCACCTCGTTTCCCACGGAACCTCGTTTCCCCCGGAACCTCGTTTCCCACGGAACCTCGTTTCCCCCGGAACCTCGTTTCCCACGGAACCTCGTTTCCCCCGGAACCTCGTTTCCCCCGGAACCTCGTTTCCCCCGGAACCTCGTTTCCCCCGGAACCTCGTTTCCCCCGGAACCTCGTTTCCCCCGGAACCTCGTTCATCTCCTGCCCTGCAGACGTGGCACCCCCTCCCTCCTCCTCTCCCCTCCCACTTCCCCAGACATGCATGGGGCGGCATCCTGATAGCAGCCAGCCCCTTCATGTGCCTGCCACGCACCTACCACCGTCACATGCGCCACACCTCTTCATAGCAGTGCAGTGCGCTAGTATAGTGCGGTGCGCTGCATAACACGCACGTGCTCCGCTCCCTCCATGCGTGTGTCCCTCTCTACCCCTCCCAGACGTACACGGGCAGCATCCTGATAGCGGCGAACCCCTTCATGCGTCTGCCGGGCATCTACGATCGGGACATGCGCGACGCCTACCGGGGGCAGCCACTGGGCGAGCTCAGCCCCCACGTGTTTGCCATCGCTGACAACGCTTACAGGTGGGGGTGGGGGTATGGTGCAAAGTTTTACGTCAACTGAAGAGTGACATGCGTGACGCCAACCGAGGCCAGTTACTGGGCGACCTCGCCCCCACCTCTGGTTTTTGAGAATTCTCAAAAACCAGCTCGCCCCCACCTCTGTGCCATCGCCCACAATGCGTACAGGTGGGGATGAGAGGGTGGTGCTGGCAACCTGGAAACGCGTATAGGTGAGGGGGGTGCTCACGATGCCTACATGTGAGGTCTCAGGTGAATTCTCAGGTGCCAGGCATGTACGTGGGAGAGCTGAGTTGAAGGGAAATGTGAGATGAGAGCGATGTGTGAAGCCTTCTAGCGTGCTGAGCACATGGGCAAGCTCATCCCACCCCCTCGTGCCCCCTCCCCTCGTGCCCCCTCCCCTTGTGCCCCCTCCCCTCGTGCCCCCTCCCCTCGTGCCCCCTCCCCTCGTGCCCCCTCCCCTCATGCCCGCCCCCTCGTGCCCGCCCCCTCATGCCCGCCCCACCATCTCCGCCCCCCCTCCCATGCCCGCCCCACATGCATTCCCTCGGCGGAGCGCAGAGCGATGCGCGAGGAGCGGCGCAGCCAGTCGATTTTGATCAGCGGGGAGAGCGGGGCGGGCAAGACGGAGACGACGAAGCTGGTGATGGAATACCTGGCGTCCGTGGGGGGGCGCGCGGACAGCGATGGCGAGCGCAGCATTGAAAACCAAGTGCTGGAGGTGAGCAAGGGTGGGAAGGGCTTACAAGAAGCTTGGGGCGAGACTTCAGAGGGGGACGGAGGGGTAGGGCTGTGGAAACGGGAGGGGGAGGGTGGGTGGGGGGAGTGGGAGTAAAGGGAGAGAAAGGGGTGAGGACGGGCTGGGATGCAGAGCAGCGGTCAAGATGGAGGCAAGGCAGTGAAGCTGGTGATGGAGGTTGTGGGGGGCCATGCGGATATTGAGGGAAAGCGCAGCACTGATAACCAAGTGCTGGAGGTGAGATGGGGGAGGGACTGCGACACACCTGAAATGAGGTGAGAGGGGCAGTGAGAAGCAATGAAGCAAATGGTGGAGGTGCGAGAGGGTGAGGCCATCAGCGGAGCAATCAGAGGCACGCAGAGAGCGAGGCAGGGACAGACGGGAGGAGGAAAGTGAGTGACGTGACAGTAGGCAAGGGCGGGAGGCAGAGTAGATGCGCGGCAACGACAATGGTGACTCATGAGCAAGCGAGTGTGGCTGGCTGGAACCATGAAGGTGAAGCCACGAGGGGCAAGAGAGGCAAGCGAGGCCAGAGGGGTAAGAGGGGCGAGGTTGTGTGAGGCAAATTTGGAGTGTTGCAACACTTTCTCTTATTTCACCATGATGCCATCCTCCTCCTCGCCTGCCCTTCTCTTCTTCCGCCTCTTGATGCAGAACTTGAAACCCGCTCCCACTCCCTCCTCCAATGTTCCACCCCTTTCCAACATTGGAACATTGGAACACTTGTCTTTTATTCTTCCGCTCCCTTCCCCCTTCCCCTCCCTCTCTTGCTCTTCTGATCGTCCTGCTATTGCCCCGCAACAGTCCAATCCACTGCTGGAGGCGTTTGGGAATGCCAAGACAGTGCGCAATGACAACTCCAGGTGGGACGCGGTGCAGGGAGATGTACAGAGGTGCGATGAGTGCAGGGGGATGAGTAAAGGGGAATAAGTGCCAAGGGGAAGAAAAACTGGGGATGAGTGCAGTGGGGAAGAGTGCGAGGTAGCAGGTGTGTGGCGATCTATCCAGGCAGTTGAGGTTTCTCTGTATGTTGAGCCCTGAGCACAAGTAGATGCACGTCGTCCTTCTCCTTCCTTCCATTCGTTGCCCCTGCCTGCCCTGTCCCCGTCGCCCCTGCCTGCCCTGTCCCCGTCGCCCCTGCCTGCCCTGTCCCCGTCGCCCCTGCCTGCCCTGTCCCCGTCGCCCCTGCCTGCCCTGTCCCCGTCGCCCCTGCCTGCCCTGTCCCCGTCGCCCCTGCCTGCCCTGTCCCCGTCGCCCCTGCCTGCCCTGTCCCCGTCGCCCCTGCCTGCCCTGTCCCCGTCGCCCCTGCCTGCCCTGTCCCCGTCGCCCCTGCCTGCCCTGTCCCCGTCGCCCCTGCCTGCCCTGTCCCCGTCGCCCCTGCCTGCCCTGTCCCCGTCGCCCCTGCCTGCCCTGTCCCCGTCGCCCCTGCCTGCCCTGTCCCCGTCGCCCCTGCCTGCCCTGTCCCCGTCGCCCCTGCCTGCCCTGTCCCCGTCGCCCCTGCCTGCCCTGTCCCCGTCGCCCCTGCCTGCCCTGTCCCCGTCGCCCCTGCCTGCCCTGTCCCCGTCGCCCCTGCCTGCCCTGTCCCCGTCGCCCCTGCCTGCCCTGTCCCCGTCGCCCCTGCCTGCCCTGTCCCCGTCGCCCCTGCCTGCCCTGTCCCCGTCGCCCCTGCCTGCCCTGTCCCCGTCGCCCCTGCCTGCCCTGTCCCCGTCGCCCCTGCCTGCCCTGTCCCCGTCGCCCCTGCCTGCCCTGTCCCCGTCGCCCCTGCCTGCCCTGTCCCCGTCGCCCCTGCCTGCCCTGTCCCCGTCGCCCCTGCCTGCCCTGTCCCCGTCGCCCCTGCCTGCCCTGTCCCCGTCGCCCCTGCCTGCCCTGTCCCCGTCGCCCCTGCCTGCCCTGTCCCCGTCGCCCCTGCCTGCCTGCCTGTCCCGTCGCCCTGCTGGTGTCTTCCACTCTCTCCCGCACACCACCTGTGTGCTGGCTGGCCGCCAGTCACTTTGGCAACGTCATAGAGATCCAGTTTGACGAGCGAGGCTGCGTGGCATCGAGCATTCACGGCACCCTCATTGTCCCTTCCATTGCTTCCTTTACCCGCCGTCCTCTGCCTGCCCCTCACCGTGCCGCCAGTCGCTTTGGCAAGTTCATCGAGATCCACTTTGACCAGCGCGGGCGTGTGTCAGGAGCAGCCATCCGGTCGTACCTGCTGGAGCGATCACGGGTGGTGCATATCGCGGACCCCGAGAGGAACTACCACTGCTTCTACCAGCTCTGCGACGGGGCCTCCCCCGAGGTCAGTGCTCTGCGACGGGGCCTCCTCCGAGGTCAGTGCTCTGCGACGGGGCCTCCCCCGAGGTCAGTGCTCTGCGACGGGGCCTCCCGCGAGGTCAGTGCTTTGCGACGGGGCCTCCCCCGAGGTCAGTGCTCTGCGACGGGGCCTCCCGCGAGGTCAGTGCTCTGCGACGGGGCCTCCCCCGAGGTCAGTGCTCTGCGACGGGGCCTCCCCCGAGGTCAGTGCTCTGCGACGGGGCCTCCCCCGAGGTCAGTGCTCTGCGACAGGGCCTCCCCCGAGGTCAGTGCTCTGCGACGGGGCCTCCCCCGAGGTCAGTGCTCTGCGACGGGGCCTCCCCCGAGGTCAGTCGCACGCTGCCTCTGCTGCTTAGCTCACTGCTCTCCTCGCTGCGGCCACCTATGGTGTAGCTTGCTCTCTCACCTTTTCAACCTCCAACCCACCCCTCCCTGCCGCGCCCCTCCCTGTCATCCTCCTCGCTGTTCCCCACCCCCAACAGCATGCACCACTTCACGCTACCGGAGCCGTTGCTTTGAGGACTGCTATCCCTCGCTCCCTCACCCTCCCAACTGGCCATATCGTTTCTCTCTATGGGATGTGTTGGCAGGAAGCAGAGCTGCTGAAGCAGGCCCCAACAGGGCGCACCACTTCCACCACCTCAACCGGAGCCGCTGCCTCGAGCCCTGCTGTCCCTGACTCTCTAACCTTCCCTACATGCCATATCTCTCATGTCTCTCTCTGCCCCATCCCTCCATTATGTGCACTGCGCTGGCACTGGCAGGAGGCGGAGCTGTTGAAGCTGCCGCCCGGCCCCAACAGGGCACAGCACTTCCACTACCTCAACCAGAGCCGCTGCTTCGAGCTGCAGGGCAAGTCCAGCAACGCCGAGGAGTATAGCAAGACCCGCAGCGCCATGCGCGTCATTGGCATCTCGGAGGAGGAGCAGGTGCGCGCACGTGTTGGTGTGTTGTGTCATCATGAGCTATTGTGCCAAAGTGCATCTCGCAGCCCCCAGTGTGCCACACGGCATGGCTCCGCTGCAATCCTCTCTTCACCACGTGCCTTCCACCTCTCTCTCCAGCACGTGCCTTCCACCTCTCTCTCTTCTCGCCTCGACCCCCTTGTTCGTCCCTGCCTGCTCCACACGACTCCTCGCACGCATGCCTCCCCACCACCTGTCCATGCACGCATGCCTCCCCACCACCTGTCCATGCACGCATGCCTCCCCACCACCTGTCCATGCACGCATGCCTCCCCACCACCTGTCCATGCACGCATGCCTCCCCACCACCTGTCCATGCACGCATGCCTCCCCACCACCTGTCCATGCACGCATGCCTCCCCACCACCTGTCCATGCACGCATGCCTCCCCACCACCTGTCCATGCACGCATGCCTCCCCACCACCTGTCCATGCACGCATGCCTCCCCACCACCTGTCCATGCACGCATGCCTCCCCACCACCTGTCCATGCACGCATGCCTCCCCACCACCTGTCCATGCACGCATGCCTCCCCACCACCTGTCCATGCCCGCATGCCTCCCCACCACCTGTCCATGCACGCATGCCTCCCCACCACCTGTCCATGCACGCATGCCTCCCCACCACCTGTCCATGCACGCATGCCTCCCCACCACCTGTCCATGCACGCATGCCTCCCCACCACCTGTCCATGCACGCATGCCTCCCCACCACCTGTCCATGCACGCATGCCTCCCCACCACCTGTCCATGCACGCATGCCTCCCCACCACCTGTCCATGCACGCATGCCTCCCCACCACCTGTCCATGCCCGCATGCCTCCCCACCACCTGTCCATGCACGCATGCCTCCCCACCACCTGTCCATGCCCGCATGCCTCCCCACCACCTGTCCATGCACGCATGCCTCCCCACCACCTGTCCATGCCCGCATCCTGCCATGCCAAGCATCGGCTCTCCCCTCCGCAAGGTTAAAAAAAACGACCGTTTTTTTTGAAATTTTACCGTAAAAAACGGTATCGTAAAATACGGTCATAAAAAACCGTTTAAAACGGTTCCAGGAGGTGTTTCCTGTTTAACTAACAAAACGGCCACTTATTGGGACCAAATTGAACCCGAAATGCAGCAGCATGAAGGGGACGGACCCTTTCTTGCATGTATGCGCTTGTTTGCATGATTGAAAATGTTTTTTGGCCTTGTTTTTCTCTTTTTTTTTTCTTGTTGAACAGTGTTCTCTAACAAAAAGATGGCCGTTTTTTTGTTTTTTTTCTAAATCACCGTAAAAAACGACCGTATAAAACGGACCGTATTTTACGAAAACTGTAATTTTGAACCTTGCCCCTCCGTCTTGCTCCCACACTTTCTGCCCCAGAGCTAACATTGGCTACACGAAGCCGGGCGAGAATTCGCTCCCATTCTGGCCTTTTTTTATCTGCAACTTCCTCAGCTGCTAAACCCTACATAAAAGCGGAACCCTGAACCCCGACTCTAAGCCCCGCACACTACACAGAGCTGCATCTGGGCAACATGGATGGGGTGCATCTGGGCAACATGGATGGGGTGCATCTGGGCAACATGGATGGGGTGCAGGGAGAAGGGTGACGAGCTCCTTCCCTTCCTGTCGTTTTCCTGTCTCTTTACCTTGTCCTCGCTCCCTCCCCTAGACCCCCGGTCCCTGCTCACACCTCTCTCTCCCCCCCCCCCCCCCTCCCGGCCACCCACTCCCCCCGCCCTGCAGCGGTCCATCCCGCGCCTGCTAGCTGCGGTGCTGTATCTTCAGGGAGAAAGGCAGCAATTTCCCTCCCTTGCTGTCTCTTCCCTTGATCTCCCCCCTGTTTGTCCGCCAGCTGTCCATCCTGCGCGTGGTAGCAGCGGTGCTGCATCTGGGCAATGTGGAGTTCAGGGAGAAGGGCGACAAGTTGCGCATCGCCAAGCATGCAGACACCACCCTCGACACCGTCGCCTCCCTCCTCTCGTACGCCTCTCCCCCGCACCTGCATTCCTCTCGAATGCACCACCTCTCTCTCTCTCTCTCTCTCTCTCTCTCTCTCTCTCTCTCTCTCTCTCTCTCTCTCTCTCTCTCTCTCTCTCTCTCTCTCTCTCTCTCTCGCCCTAGCTGCCTCTCCGCCTTCTCACCTTCATATTGCTGCAGGACTCGCTATGCACGGTGCCCCGCAAGGTGGCTCCCATATCTCCTTACTCCACTCCCCTCCGGGCCCCCTGAACCTCCCCTCACTCTCACTATCCTGACCCCGTTGTGTCATGTGCTCTGCAGGTGCGACCGCAAGAAGCTGCAGGACTCGCTATGCACAGTGAAGCGCAAGGTGGGGGGGGAGACCATCAAGAGTGCACTTGATGTCAAGGCTGCCACTGTCAGGCGTGACACGCTTGCCAAGACCCTCTACTCCAAGCTCTTTGACTGGTGAGTGAGACCGCTGGGTGTAAAACCAGAATTGGCCCTAATTGAGGGGTTGGGCTCCAGCTTTAACCCCTGTCAAGTGAATTGAACCTCAATGATTGGTCCACGATCATTGCGGTTCTAAAAATCATGGTCACCACTGAACCCTGATTATTTATCATCATGGCTCCACTCCGCCGTACTGGGGGGAAGGGAAGTCATTAAATCAGCCATGGATGGCCACAACCCAAAGTTTGGGTTTGGGGTCCCAAACCATCATCCATGTTTTCATGTGAACCTCTATTTACCAAGTGAGGCTGACTTCCATGCATGCCCTCAGAACACAGGAAGGAAAAGCGTGACCAGCTCACACCCCCAGCCACCCCGCCTCGCCCTCAACCACACCTCACTCACCCACCCCCACCACCCACCCCACACTCCCCTCGTCCCCCTTCCTCCCTTTTTCATTCCCCCTTCCTACCCCCCAGGATTGTGCAGAAGGTGAATCGGTCCATCGGGCAGGACCCCAGGGCCATGGCCATCATTGGCGTGCTTGATATCTACGGCTTCGAGCACTTCAAGATCAACAGGTGCGAGGCCAGAGGTGCATACATCTTTCAAGGATAACGGCAGCTTCTAACCTCCTGAACCCTCTTTGTTGCGCCTTCCCGCATCCACAACCATGCGAGTTTCCACTCAATGCCTCTGCCTTTCCCGTTACTTCAAACCCACCAACCCCCCCCAAATGCCCCCGTTCACCCCTTCGTTCCCTTGTCGTGCCAGTACTTCCCTGCATCATTGTCGTGCCAGTACTTCCCTGCATCATTGTCGCGCCAGTACTTCCCTGCATAATTGTCGTGCCAGTACTTCCCTGCATCATTGTCGTGCCAATACTTCCCTGCATCATTGTCGTGCCAGTACTTCCCTGCATCATTGTCGTGCCAGTACTTCCCTGCATCATTGTCGTGCCAGTACTTCCCTGCATCATTGTCCATGCTCCCTCCGTTTCCCCCCTCCCTCCCCCTCCCGCTCACCTCCCCCAATGGCCGTGAACAGCTTTGAGCAGTTCTGCATCAATCTTGCCAACGAGAAACTGCAGCAGCATTTCAACCAGGTGAGGTGTTTCAACCAGGTGAGGCGTTTCAACCAGGTGAGGCGTTTCAACCGGGTGAGGCGTTTCAACCAGGTGAGGCGTTTCAACCAGGTGAGGCGTTTCAACCAGGTGAGGCGTTTCAACCAGGTGAGGTGTTTCAACCAGGTGAGGCGTTTCAACCAGGTGAGGCGTTTCAACCAGGTGAGGCGTTTCAACCACGTGAGGCGTTTCAACCACGTGAGGTGTTTCAACCAGGTGAGGCGTTTCAACCAGGTGAGGCGTTTCAACCAGGTGAGTCGTTTCAACCAGATGAGTCGTTTCAACCAGGTGAGGCGTTTCAACCAGGTGAGGCGTTTCAACCAGGTGAGGCGTTTCAACCGGGTGAGGCGTTTCAACCGGGTGAGGCGTTTCAACCGGGTGAGGCGTTTCAACCGGGTGAGGCGTTTCAACCGGGTGAGGCGTTTCAACCGGGTGAGGCGTTTCAACCAGGTGAGGCGTTTCAACCAGGTGAGGCGTTTCAACCAGGTGAGGCGTTTCAACCAGGTGAGGTGTTTTAACCAGGTGAGGCGTTTCAACCAGGTGAGGCGTTTCAACCAGGTGAGGCGTTTCAACCTTAGTTGGAATATACGCGTTTCGCGTTTCATACGCTAGCGTTTATCCGCTAGCGTATAAACGCTGAACGCTTCTTGGGAGGCTTCCTGTACGCAGTGAATACGCAGGCCCGGGCACCTAAAAAATTTTCCCGGGCAGTTGTTAGGTCTTTAGCGGGGGATGGGCGAGGTGCAAAGCACGAAGTTGGTGCCCGCAGTCTAGTCATACTCGTTGAGAAGTATGAAGTCGGCGAGATTGAGATGAAACGAAATGTAGAAATGTCGAGATTAGGGCTGACTGGGCTGGTAAGCAGCGTGGGGTTTGTTGGGGGGGTGGTTCTGGACAGGTTGGAGTTCGTAGATGTTATGGGTTCCAGTGCGGTACTAATATGAGATTCAACATTTCGATTCCCAGACATGCCTCCCAACTTCGAAGTCACATTTCCGCTTGCCTAGACCACCGATTAGCATTTCGACTTTCGCGAAATGCTCACGAAGAAATTCCACACCTATTCCGCGATTTTTTTTCGGGCAGCCCTAAAACTTTTCTGACTGCGTATTGCGTATTCCCTAGCGTTTTGCGTATAGCGTTAAAACGCAAGCGTATAAACGTGATACGCTTGAGGCTCTGAGCGTATACTCCAACTTAGGTTTCAACCAGGTGAGGCGTTTCAACCAGGTGAGGCGTTTCAACCAGGTGAGGCGTTTCAACAAAGTGAGGCGCGTTTTGTGGCAGGTTACTTGGAAAGTTTCATGTGTTTTTGTAGGCAGCTGTACTAAGCACTGTGAAGCTCGTTTCACAAGTAACAATGCAAAGTGCTTCGCCAGAAAGCATATTATATTCCATTCATGTGGCCCGAACCATACATATTGTTTCTGTATTCGAAATTTTTGAAGTTCCATGTTCTGTAATCGGTTTGATTAAACGCTGACATGCTCTTGCTCGTGTACCAGTCTTCTCTTGAGGCGCCTCAACAGCCCCATGTACCAGTCTTCTTTTGAGGCGCCTCAACAGCCCCATGTACCAGTCTTCTCTTGAGGCGCCTCAAAAGCCCCATGTACCAGTCTTCTCTTGAGGCGCCTCAACAGCCCCATGTACCAGTCTTCTCTTGAGGCGCCTCAACAGCCCCATGTACCAGTCTTCTCTTGAGGCGCCTCAACAGCCCCATGTACCAGTCTTCTCTTGAGGCGCCTCAACAGCCCCATGTACCAGTCTTCTCTTGAGGCGCCTCAACAGCCCCATGTACCAGTCTTCTCTTGAGGCGCCTCAACAGCCCCATGTACCAGTCTTCTCTTGAGGCGCCTCAACAGCCCCATGTACCAGTCTTCTCTTGAGGCGCCTCAACAGCCCCATGTACCAGTCTTCTCTTGAGGCGCCTCAACAGCCCCATGTACCAGTCTTCTCTTGAGGCGCCTCAACAGCCCCATGTACCAGTCTTCTCTTGAGGCGCCTCAACAGCCCCATGTACCAGTCTTCTCTTGAGGCGCCTCAACAGCCCCATGTACCAGTCTTCTCTTGAGGCGCCTCAACAGCCCCATGTACCAGTCTTCTCTTGAGGCGCCTCAACAGCCCCATGTACCAGTCTTCTCTTGAGGCGCCTCAACAGCCCCATGTACCAGTCTTCTCTTGAGGCGCCTCAAAAGCCCCATGTACCAGTCTTCTCTTGAGGCGCCTCAACAGCCCCATGTACCAGTCTTCTCTTGAGGCGCCTCAACAGCCCCATGTACCAGTCTTCTCTTGAGGCGCCTCAACAGCCCCATGTACCAGTCTTCTCTTGAGGCGCCTCAACAGCCCCATGTACCAGTCTTCTCTTGAGGCGCCTCAACAGCCCCATGTACCAGTCTTCTCTTGAGGCGCCTCAACAGCCCCATGTACCAGTCTTCTCTTGAGGCGCCTCAACAGCCCCATGTACCAGTCTTCTCTTGAGGCGCCTCAACAGCCCCATGTACCAGTCTTCTCTTGAGGCGCCTCAACAGCCCCATGTACCAGTCTTCTCTTGAGGCGCCTCAACAGCCCCATGTACCAGTCTTCTCTTGAGGCGCCTCAACAGCCCCATGTACCAGTCTTCTCTTGAGGCGCCTCAACAGCCCCATGTACCAGTCTTCTCTTGAGGCGCCTCAACAGCCCCATGTACCAGTCTTCTCTTGAGGCGCCTCAACAGCCCCATGTACCAGTCTTCTCTTGAGGCGCCTCAACAGCCCCATGTACCAGTCTTCTCTTGAGGCGCCTCAACAGCCCCATGTACCAGTCTTCTCTTGAGGCGCCTCAACAGCCCCATGTACCAGTCTTCTCTTGAGGCGCCTCAACAGCCCCATGTACCAGTCTTCTCTTGAGGCGCCTCAACAGCCCCATGTACCAGTCTTCTCTTGAGGCGCCTCAACAGCCCCATGTACCAGTCTTCTCTTGAGGCGCCTCAACAGCCCCATGTACCAGTCTTCTCTTGAGGCGCCTCAACAGCCCCATGTACCAGTCTTCTCTTGAGGCGCCTCAACAGCCCCATGTACCAGTCTTCTCTTGAGGCGCCTCAACAGCCCCATGTACCAGTCTTCTCTTGAGGCGCCTCAACAGCCCCATGTACCAGTCTTCTCTTGAGGCGCCTCAACAGCCCCATGTACCAGTCTTCTCTTGAGGCGCCTCAACAGCCCCATGTACCAGTCTTCTCTTGAGGCGCCTCAACAGCCCCATGTACCAGTCTTCTCTTGAGGCGCCTCAACAGCCCCATGTACCAGTCTTCTCTTGAGGCGCCTCAACAGCCCCATGTACCAGTCTTCTCTTGAGGCGCCTCAACAGCCCCATGTACCAGTCTTCTCTTGAGGCGCCTCAACAGCCCCATGTACCAGTCTTCTCTTGAGGCGCCTCAACAGCCCCATGTACCAGTCTTCTCTTGAGGCGCCTCAACAGCCCCATGTACCAGTCTTCTCTTGAGGCGCCTCAACAGCCCCATGTACCAGTCTTCTCTTGAGGCGCCTCAACAGCCCCATGTACCAGTCTTCTCTTGAGGCGCCTCAACAGCCCCATGTACCAGTCTTCTCTTGAGGCGCCTCAACAGCCCCATGTACCAGTCTTCTCTTGAGGCGCCTCAACAGCCCCATGTACCAGTCTTCTCTTGAGGCGCCTCAACAGCCCCATGTACCAGTCTTCTCTTGAGGCGCCTCAACAGCCCCATGTACCAGTCTTCTCTTGAGGCGCCTCAACAGCCCCATGTACCAGTCTTCTCTTGAGGCGCCTCAACAGCCCCATGTACCAGTCTTCTCTTGAGGCGCCTCAACAGCCCCATGTACCAGTCTTCTCTTGAGGCGCCTCAACAGCCCCATGTACCAGTCTTCTCTTGAGGCGCCTCAACAGCCCCATGTACCAGTCTTCTCTTGAGGCGCCTCAACAGCCCCATGTACCAGTCTTCTCTTGAGGCGCCTCAACAGCCCCATGTACCAGTCTTCTCTTGAGGCGCCTCAACAGCCCCATGTACCAGTCTTCTCTTGAGGCGCCTCAACAGCCCCATGTACCAGTCTTCTCTTGAGGCGCCTCAACAGCCCCATGTACCAGTCTTCTCTTGAGGCGCCTCAACAGCCCCATGTACCAGTCTTCTCTTGAGGCGCCTCAACAGCCCCATGTACCAGTCTTCTCTTGAGGCGCCTCAACAGCCCCATGTACCAGTCTTCTCTTGAGGCGCCTCAACAGCCCCATGTACCAGTCTTCTCTTGAGGCGCCTCAACAGCCCCATGTACCAGTCTTCTCTTGAGGCGCCTCAACAGCCCCATGTACCAGTCTTCTCTTGAGGCGCCCTCCTCTCAACCAATAGCACGTGTTGAAGCTGGAGCAGGATGAATACCAGAAGGTGCAGATCAACTGGAGCCGATGCTGTTGCTCATGTGCTCTTTACCCTCCCCCCCCCCACACAAACCCTACCCCTCCCGCACACGACCAGCACGTGTTGAAGCTGGAGCAGGAGGAGTATGAGAAGGAGCAGATCAACTGGAGCTACATCAACTTCCGTGACAACCAGGACGTGCTGGACCTCGTTGAAGGGGTGAGCGCCGTGGCTGGGACTGGGGGCATGCCATGGGGGGCATGCAAGGATCATCGAGGGATATGGATGGACGGGTGGGATGTGTTGCAGGGGAGGAGGATGAACTGAGAGGGAGAGAGGGTAGAGGCGCTGACATTTGGCACTTTTTGAGAGAGTCACATGGAGCTGCAGAGGATCAGACCAGATCCGATCATATCAGAGATACTGCAAGCGCCCATTCCGATAAGTGTGTTTCGATTGCCTCTTGTTCCTCTCTGATTTCAAACCCGTCCACCCAACCATCATTCCCCATTCCCTCTTCCCCCCCCCTCTTCCCCTCCTCCCTCCCCTCTCCCCCCACCTCCCCCTTCCGCCCCCTTTGCCCTGGTTCCCCCCATGTCCCACGCGGCAGGACAAGGGCATTCTCAGCATCCTTGACTCAGCCTGGTGCGTGCATCGCATCACACCTCCACTCGCTCCCTCACCACATCCCCCCCCGCCCCCTCGCCCCGCGCCTTCATTCCCCCACCTGCATTCCCCCACCTGCATTCCCCCACCTGCATTCCCCCACCTGCATTCCCCCAGATGCATCTTAATTCAATAGTCCCCATTCGCTCCCCATTCGCTCCCCATTCGCTCGTCTCGTCGGTTCCATCCTCTGCACTCGTCAGCAGCACAGGGCCTCAACTCACAGCACAGGGCCTCAACTCACTCCTGCAGGGCCTCAACTCACTCGTGGGATATTCCCCCTTACTCTCGCTTCACCTCCCTCCCCTATCTGCCTCTTTACATACTCCCCACTAGCCCCCCACCACCCACCCACCCTAACCCCCACCCTAACCCCCCTATGCATACTCTCTTCTTCTGAGACCACATCGAAGGTCATCACCCTCCCTCTCCTTCCTTCTCCACCCCCTCTCCTTCCTTCTCCCCTCCCTCTCCTTCCTTCTCCCCTCCCTCTCCACCTGCGCTTCTGTCAACCCACACCTACGTCCCCCTCTCGTCCCCATGCATCTGGATTCCGAACCCCCTCATCTCATCTCATCTCATCTCATCTCATCTCATCTCATCTCACTCATCTCATCTCATCTCATCTCATCTCATCTCATCTCATCTCATCTCATCTCATCTCATCTCATCTCATCTCATCTCATCTCATCTCATCTCATCTCATCTCATCTCATCTCATCTCATCTCATCTCATCTCATCTCATCTCATCTCATCTCATCTCATCTCATCTCATCTCATCTCATCTCATCTCATCTCATCTCATCTCATCTCATCTCATCTCATCTCATCTCATCTCATCTCATCTCATCTCATCTCATCTCATCTCATCTCATCTCATCTCATCTCATCTCATCTCATCTCATCTCATCTCATCTCATCTCATCTCATCTCATCTCATCTCATCTCATCTCATCTCATCTCATCTCATCTCATCTCATCTCATCTCATCTCATCTCATCTCATCTCATCTCATCTCATCTCATCTCATCTCATCTCATCTCATCTCATCTCATCTCATCTCATCTCATCTCATCTCATCTCATCTCATCTCATCTCATCTCATCTCATCTCATCTCATCTCATCTCATCTCATCTCATCTCATCTCATCTCCCCCCATCTCCCCCTCACACCTCGTGCTCTCTTCGCCCCACCATCGCAGCCCAGGGCGGAGGGCTTCACCCTGTCGCTGTACGACGCCTTCCTCCGCCACCACCACCTCTCTTCCATGCTTCCCTCCCCCCCCCCTCTTTCCCCCACCCCCTCCGCCTCCCCACCTCCATCCCCTCCCCACGCCCCGCTCCCCTCACCCCCCGCACCAGCCTTGTGCCTCAGTGCACAGCGGAGGGCTTCACGCTGTCGCTGTACGACGCCTTCCCATGTGCTTCCCGTCTCTTTTCCTTCCCCATTACGCCCTCTCCCCTCCCCCCCCCTCCTCTCTTCTCCACGTCCAGCCGCCTGGCGCAGTCAACAGCGGAGGGCTTCACGCTGTCGCTGTACGACGCCTTCCTGCGCCACGACCGCTTCTCCAAGTCCAAGGGCTCCGTCACCGACTTCACCCTCGAGCACTACGCCGGGCAGGTCAGTTGAGAGTCAACTCAAGTCAACATGGCCGTTGACTCAAGTCAAAGGGCTTCTCCAAGTCCAAGGGCTCCGTCACTGACTTCACCATGGAGCACTACGCCGGTCAGGTGGGTGGGGTGGGGCTGTGTGCTGTGTTGGGTAGGTGGGGTGGAATGAAATGAAAGGACTGTGTGTGAGGCGCACACATGGCCGACTTCTTCTCCAACTCCAATGGCTCTCTTCTAGGACCTTGAAGCTAACTCAATAGTCTTCTCCAAGTCCAAGGTCCCTGTCATTGACTTCACTCTCGGGCACTGCGCGGAGCAGGTGTGGTGAGAGTGGTGGCCCGGGCGGGGCTCTGTGTTGTGCTGGGTGGGCGACAAGATAAAAGGATCGTTCGTGACACGTGCCACCCCCTATTAGTTTGCCAAGTCCAAGGGCTATGTCTCTTATTGCACTCTTCAGCACCATGCCAGGCAGATTAGTCAGGGCTCTGTGCTGCCTGGCTTACCATGGTGAACTCAACTCACGAGATAACCCTTGCATCAACTCAACTCACGAGATAACCCTTGCATCAACTCAACTCAAGATGACTGGTGAGTGGCTGAAAAGAGTTTTCAAGTGCAAGTGCTCTGGCACTAGAACGCACCAGATGAAGTCAAGCACAGGTCATCCCCCCTGTTGCTCAACTTGCAACTTCCCTTTCCTTTCCCTCCCCCCCTTGGAGCACACCAGGTGAAGTACAGCACGTTGGAGTTCATAAGCAAGAACATGGACGCAGTGGTATCAGAGCACGAGGTGCTGCTGCAGAAGTCTGCCGACCCATTCGTCACCGCCCTCTTCCCACCCGCGCCGCCCGATGACAAGGCGGGCAAGGCCACGAGCAAGTTCGCGTCGCTGGCTCGCTCCTTCAAGGTGTGCACCAGCCATGCACCCACTCAACCATCCCACTCGCCATCCAACCCCACACCTGTGTGCCCTGCGTGCTTCCAAGCTGGGGGGTCGGGACCAGGCATGAGCAGGGGGCGAACTCGAACATGTTCGTGTTCGCCCCCTGACGAACATGGCCTTCTGCCGAACCGAACAGTGTTCGGTTCGGCGAACAACTTGAGTGAAAATAGGTGTTCGCCGTTCTCCCTAGGAGGCGAACGAATTGCTGCAACAGGCGAACACGAACATGTTCGTGGCGAACATGTTCGTGTTCGCCCAGGGGGAAATTCAATATAGAGTAAAATTCAAATCGTCGCACATTCTCTCCCCCCACCTCCCAAGCCAGTCCCGCCCTGCTTCATCCATCTAGTGCCAGCGTGCAACGGCGAAATGCTAGATCCGCACTTAAGCAACGGCGAAATGCTAGATCTGCACTTAAGCAACGGCGAAATGCTCGATCCGCACTTAAGCAACGGCGAAATGCTAGATCCGCACTTAAGCAACGGTGAAATGCTCGATCCGCAATTAAGCAACGGCGAAATGCTCGATCCGCACTTAAACAACGGCGAAATGCTCGATCCGCACTTAAGCAACGGCGAAATGCTCGATCTGCACTTAAGCAATGGCAAAATGCTAGATCTGCACTTTACTAACTGCGAAAGGCCAGATCTGAGCCCAAACATCAAGGCCCGCGACCTAAAAATTGGTCGCGGGCCTATTTGTCGACGAACACATTGGTGTTTGTCGAAGGCCCGTGTCGAACACGAACACGTTCGTGTTTGACGCGCCTCGGCGAGCTGAGCCGGGCGAACGGCGAACGTGTTCGGGCGAACACCGAACACGTTCGCCCCGAACAATTTAGGCCAAAAAAATATCCTGTTCGGTTCGCCTCGAACGTGTTCGAGGCGAACCGAACAGGAGTTCGTCATATTGCTCATCCCTAGTCGGGACTCACATGCCTCCAAGCTGGGGGGTCGGGACTCACATGCCTCCAGGCAAGCGCTCCGGGTGGCTCGGGCAGCACTGGGTGGGAATTGACAGAAGCTGCTCATATGGCAAGCTATCTGACTTCTCTTTCAATCTATAACTTGCTCAGTATCACAGTGCATTTACTCCTACACCGTTTTCTCTCCTCTGTCCCTCCTTCTCACCCCCCTGCCTTTTCTCTCACCCCATCTCATTTCCAGCAACAACTGGCGCAGCTGATGGAGACACTCAACCGCACAGAACCGCACTACATCCGGTGCATCAAGCCGAACGCCAAGAGCCGGCCGGGCATGTTTGAGCGCGCCATGGTCACGGACCAGCTGCGGTCGGGGGTGAGTGAGACGGCAGGCTTAGCTGGTCGTGCCACACATTTCCACTGCCCCGTTTGTACGTAGTAGCCCCCCTGGTCTCCGTGAACTGAACTGAACTGAGCGCGCCATGACCAGCTCCCTCTCTTCCTGTCGCCTTCTGTGCCCTTGCTTGCTCCTCCCTAGCGCAGGGAGTGCTGGAGGCCATCCGCATGTGCTCCGCGGGCTACCCCACACGCCGCACCTTTGAGGACTTCGTTGACCGCTTCGCTCTGCTGCTGCCCTCGCTGCTCGAGCAGGAGTGAGTGCTCCCGACTCCTCTCCTCCCCCCTCCACTCCTCTGGCGCGGAGATCTCTCCAGCACGTCCACCAAGATGAAAACTTCTCTGCCCATCCTCTTGCTGCTCAAAAAGATCTACACCTGGAGTCGACTTCTTGACTCCCTGCGTTCTTTCTCCCGCTTCCAACCTTCCTCTCTTCTCTTCTCCACTCAGCTCCCCGCATCCTCCTTTCCCCCCACCTCTGTCTGTCCCCCTTTTCTTGCAGCATGTCGGACGTGGAGTATGTGGAGGCGCTGCTCAAACACGCCAAGCTCGAGAACTACCAGGTGCCCCTTCAAATGCCTTTTTATATCACACTAACCTTCAGTTGATAATTCAGGTGCAGTCATCGAAGCAGGTGTGTAGTCGCCAGGCTGTGACCTCTCAGGACGGTGTGACTGCCGTCCACGCTGGAGCGCCCCCCTGCTTGCTCCACCTCTGCTGCCACGCTCCCCACCCCGTGCTCCTGACGCCCTCGCCTCAGCTCTGCAGATGTGCCCTCGCCTCAGCTCTGCAGATGTGCCCTCGCCTCAGCTCTGCAGATGTGCCCTCCCCCGATTGTCCTCCACTCCTTTCCCTTGCTCCGCTCGGCAGCACCGCAGAGGCCTGTGCTGCACACCGTGCGTGGGGAGCAGTTTCTCTTGCCCTTCCTGCTTCCAACATCCACACTCCCCTTTGTGTTTCCTTGTAATGCCTCACCTCCTCTCATTCCCGACCCTCTCCTGTGTTAGCGCAGCCGGATCGGGATGGCGAGCCAAGGTGTGCCTCAGGGCAGGACAGTTGATGGTGCTTATCATGCCTCCTTCATCCCCTACACGCCCCCTTTTGCCTCCTCACCCCCTCTCCCTCACGCGCGCAGATCGGGGTGACCAAGGTGTTCCTGCGGGCGGGCAGCTGGTGCATATGATGGTGTGTGCACTCACCCTTCCCCACCACCTTTCCGTTCCCTCCCCCTGACGCCCTTCCCTCTCCACCTCTCCCTCCCTGCACGTGCGCAGATCGGGCTGACCAAGGTGTTTCTGCGCGCGGGGCAGATGGCGCTGCTGCAGAGCATGCGCCTGGACGCCATGAACGAAGCTGCCAGGAAGATTCAGCGCGCCACTCGGCACTTCCTCTTCAATCGCCATCGCAGGCGCGCCGCCCTGCTCATCCAGACACACTGGCGAGGTGAGGTGTGCGATGTGGTGCAGTGGCCAGACACACTGGCGAGGTGAGGTGTGCGATGTGGTGCAGTGGCCAGACACACTGGCGAGGTGAGGTGTGCGATGTGGTGCAGTGGCCAGACACACTGGCGAGGTGAGGTGTGCGATGTGGTGCAGTGGCCAGACACACTGGCGAGGTGAGGTGTGCGATGTGGTGCAGTGGCCAGACACACTGGCGAGGTGAGGTGTGCGATGTGGTGCAGTGGCCAGACACACTGGCGAGGTGAGGTGTGCGATGTGGTGCAGTGGCCAGACACACTGGCGAGGTGAGGTGTGCGATGTGGTGCAGTGGCCAGACACACTGGCGAGGTGAGGTGTGCGATGTGGTGCAGTGGGCAGACCCACTGGCGAGGTGAGATGCTCATCCAGACGCAGGGGTGAGGTGAAGTGGTGGTGGGGTGAGGCAGGGGTGAGGTGCTGGCGAGGTGAGGTGTGCGGTGCGGTGTGGTGCGGTGAGATGGGGTGGGGTGGGGTACTGTGAGATGCTCATCCAGGCACAGTGGCTCGAGGGGGCGAGCGTTAAAGGCCGAGGATTGGCATGCAGGGGAAGAAGGGCCCCCTGCCCCTCTCCCACTGTGCGACCCTGCCATCCCTCACTCACACTCGCTACCTTCCCGTCCCCACTTCCCAACTCTTCCCCCCCCCATCCCCCCCTCTGCCCCTCCAGGCTTCTGTGTGCGCGCGGCCTACCAGCTGTTGCGCAGTGATGTGGCTGCTGTGCCCTCTCGCGGAGCTGCCTTCTGCTCCCTCCCCCTCCTCCCCCTCCTTCTCTTCCCTTCTGTTCTCATCCCTCGGTTTCGTTCCCCACCTCCTCTCTCTCCAATCTCCAACACCCCTCCAGGCCACTGTGCGCGCGCGGCGTACCAGCAGTTGCGCAGGGACGTGGCAGCAACGACCATCCAGGCGGCGGAGAGGGGGCGGCAGCAGCGCCTGCGCTTCCTGCAGCTGCGCCACGCCGCACTGGTGGTGCAGGCCGCTGTGCGCATGCACCTCTGCCGCACCGCCTATGCCAACACTCGCCGCCGCCTCGCCGCCACCCGCATTCAGGTGCGTTGCAGCATGAGGCACCCGCATTCAGGTGCGTTGCAGCATGAGGCACCCGCATTCAGGTGCGTTGCAGCACGAGGCACCCGCATTCAGGTGCGTTGCAGCACGCTGGGGTCTTGCTGGTGCAGCACGAGGCACGCTGCTGTCGCGATGCATGCAGTGGGTTGAAAATCCTGCAATGAGCTCTGGAAGTCGATACTCCCCCCCTTGCCGTGCCTTGTGTGCCACCCCCCCCCCTCCCTCTCACCACGCCCCCATGCAGAGCACGTGGCGGGGCTACATTCACAGGCGGCCGTGGCGGGCGCTCAAGCACATGCTGGCGGGTAGAGTGGCGCGCCTCCGAATGCACAACCTCAAGCTGGTGAGTCATAGCGTTCCCTTGTTCTCGCCATCCATACCAAAGTTCAGCATACGACTGTATTTTTGAAATCGCTCTATGATTTCTCACAGGAGCCTATTATTGGATACCGTATTTTACGGTAACATTTTAAGAGTAAGACCATATTTTTTAACCTTCATCCATACTAACCAATCCCCCTCTTCTCTTCCTTTTCCCGGATTTTCTGCTATTCCTGCGCTGCTTACGCCTCTCACCTTCCAACCCAACCATCTCCCTCCCTGCCTCCTTTTCCGGCCCTTTCTGCTTCTCCTGCTCTGCTCACGTTTAGGAGGCGAGCCTGCAGGTGGATCTGGCGTGTCTCAGCATCCATACCGACCAGTTCCCCCTTCCCCCACCTCCCCTTCCCCTTTTTCCTGCCCTCCCCGCTCCTCCCACTCCAACCACCCGCAGGAGGCGAGTCGGCAGGCGGAGTTGGCGCCGCCGCGCAAGAAGACGGACGTGGCCATCGAGACCATCCGCATGATGACACTGCGCGTGATGCGGGTGAGAGGAGAGGGAAGCCGTGAGGGGAGAGGGAAGCCGTGAGGGGAGAGGGAAGCCGTGAGGGGAGAGGGAAGCCGTGAGGGGAGAGGGAAGCCGTGAGGGGAGAGGGAAGCCGTGAGGGGAGAGGGAAGCCGTGAGGGGAGAGGGAAGCCGTGAGGGGAGAGGGAAGCCGTGAGGGGAGAGGGAAGCCGTGAGGGGAGAGCAATGTGAGAGGGATGCAACTAGGAGTGGTGCCTGTGAGAATTCTCGCGAGCAACTCTAGTATAGCTGGTGATGTGGGTGATGCTAACCAGTGGAAATGAAATTGTCCATGGTATGACAGGGCATTCACCATACACACTCTAAGGTACCTCTTCGTTTCAGACAGGCCTTGCCTTTCACTCCTTGTCACCTACCTTCCTGCCCCTCGCCGCACCAATTCCTTATCTCTCCCGCATTACCCATATTCACCCTCTTCCTCCCTTTGCTCCCACATCCATCTCTGCACTGCTCGCCCGCCCGCCTCATCAAAATCCCTCTCCCCCCTTCTCAGGAAAAGGCTGAAAAAAGCCGTGCACACTCAGAGCGCCAGCTGGCAGAGGTCCGTGCTGAGCTGGAGCGGACCAAGAAGGAGCTGGCAGGCAAGGTGCGTGAGGTGGCGCGGCTGGTGGGGCAGCTGGAGCAGGAGCAGCAGCGGGCAGAGCTGGCAGAGGAGCGATTGGAGGAGATGCTGAGGGATCAGGACAGGGAGCGGGCGGAGGGGCGGGAGCGAGTGCTGCATGTGGCATCTGTGGCCTCACATAAAGCAGCAGCAGGCGGAGGAGGAGCAGCAGCAGGGGCGCTGAGCAGCCTGCCTTCCTTGGGTGGGTCAGGCTTCTCCTCGTCCTCCTCCTCACCCTCCGCTGCTGCAGCTGCAGTGGCTGCTCTGGCAGGGGGAGCGCTGGGAGTGGTGGTGGACAAGCATTTGGCGTCGCAGCAGAGCGGGGGGAGAGCGGGGGCACCAGGGGGCAATCTGGGGGTGCCGGAGGGGTCGAGGATCCTCGCCCGCATGGCGTCGCGCAGACACCCCTCGCCGCACACACCTGCCAATCACCCCACGTGGGAGGAAACCGCTGCTGCTGCTGCTGGCGGTGCTGCGGGTGGTGCTGCGAGTGCTGCTCTCACGAGCTCCCCGTCCTTCTCCTCCTCCTCCAGTCGCTCCTCGCCTGTCCCTCCCCTGCCTCCCTCCTCCATAGCGTCCCCCCCTGGCAGCAGCGGGGGTGGCATGGCGGCTGCAGCCGCGGCAGCGGTGGCAGCGATGGAGAGAGCTGAAGGCGCAGCGGCAGCAGCGGCAGGTGGGGAGGGCATGCACGACGGCGCCCACAGGGGCCATGGCGGCGCGGCGGACGCCCATCACCTGCCGTGCATTCAGGAGTCGGCGTCACGCGAGGAGGGCGAGGAGAAGAAGGTGGTTGCAGTGAGCAGAACTAGCAGTGGCGGCAGCGGCAGCGGCACCACGGAGTTTGGTGGCAGCAGCGGGGGGTTGAGGCAAGTGCGGTTCCCCTCCATGGGACCGGAGGAGAGCGAGGCAGAGGCCGGGTACACTCGTGCCAGCACGCTGCCCGTTGGGAAGAGCATGCTGCGGCTGCAGTCCATGGGGAAGGCCCTCAAACCTGCTGCTAACGCTGATGCTGCTGGGGGCTCTGGCAGCGCGCCCGACGGTGCGGATGCACGGTTGGCGAGGATCCGACGGCTGCAGTCGTCCAACCCGCGGATGGGTGGAGGAGCAGGGGGGGAGGGTGTTGGTGGGCCGGGCGTGCCGCGGCCGCTGGTGTCGGCCAAGTCGCTGACCCGCGACGAGGCCGTGCGCATGCTGGCGAGTGCTCAGAGGGATGTGGAGGAGATGCACAAGGTGAGGGGGTTACGTAAGGGATGGTGGATGGGATATGTTTTCTGGACAAATAACACTTGGAAGGCAGGAGAGACAAATATGTTCTCTCTCTCTCTCTCTCTCTCTCTCTCTCTCTCTCTCTCTCTCTCTCTCTCTCTCTCTCTCTCTCTCTCTCTCTCTCTCTCTCTCTCTCTCTCGCTCTCTCCCGTCCCCCCTCCCCCCTTTCACTCCCAACCCCGTTTCTCCTCTTCTGACTCACTAATCCGCTATTTCCCTCCATCTCTCCTCCCTCAACTGACTACCCACCCCCCCCCGCTACCTTCTCCTCCTCCTCCTCCCTCCCCCCAACCCACCCAGCTGAAGGAGGAGAGGCGGCAGCTGCAGGTGCTGTACCGGGAGGCAGTGGCGGCAACAGAGGCGGCACTGGCAGCGGCAGCGGAGGAGCGCGGGCGGGTGGGCGAGCTGCAGCGGACAGTGGAGGGGAAGGACGAGGAGATCCGCGAGCTCATGGAGAAGAACCAGGAGCTGCAGCTCGCTCTCACCCTGTCAGTCGCCCCTGCCTTCTTGCTGCTTGCTGTGTGTGTGGTGTGTGCCTACGTGCCGTGCTGTGCTGCGTGGTAATGTTTTCTTATGGACAGTAACCAACGCACCCATGTCAGTGGGAACAAACCAAACCCACAACAAGAGTCAAGCTAGCTTGCTCCACATAGGGCTGCCCAATGCACCTGCGTGGCTGGTTGGTTGGTGGCCACCCAATGATGGGCGGGTGGGCGACCTGCAGCGCGCGCTGGAGCGGAAGGACGAGGAGATTCGCGAGCTCGCTGGGAAGAACCAGGAGCTGCAGCTAGCGGGTTCTGTGCTGTGCTGTGTGGTTGTGTACTGTGCTGTGTGGTTGTGTGCTGTGCTGTGTGGTTGTGTGCTGTGCTGTGTGGTTGTGTGCTGTGCTGTGTCGTTGTGTGCTGTGCTGTGTGGAACGAAAGGACGGGGAGATCCGCGAGCTTACTGAGAAACACCAGGAGCTGCAGCGCGGCCTCACCCTGTCCGTCAGCCATCACACCGTATTGGCTTGTAACCGTATTACAAGAATTGCAGATTTCCTTCGTTTCACAACCTTCTATCACTTGTCTTAAGGGTATTTGTGAGCAGATCCCCTCGGCCAGAATTTCCTGCTCCCTTTCACAACCTCCAGTCGCTCGCACCTTCACCTCTCACGTCCTGCTCACTATCCATTGCTCACCATCCATCGCTCACCAACCATCCATCTTTCCCCCAACTTCCATCGCTCACCAACCGTCCATCACTCCCCCACCTTCCATCGCTCACCAACCATCCATCACTCTCCCACCTTCCATCGCTCCCCCACCATCCATCACTCCCCCACGTTCCATCGCTCACCAACCGTCCATCACTCTCCCACCTTCCATCGCTCCCCCACCATCCGTCACTCCCCCACCTTCCATCGCTCCCCCACCATCCATCGCTCCCTCCCGTCCATCCCACATCCGCCCCGCTCCACGACAATATCCCACCCCACCTGCCTACCCCCACACCACCATCGCAGCAAGTCGCGGGAGGTGCGCACGCTCAGCCAGCGGTTGCTGGCATCGCAGGCTGACAGCGACGTGGAGGAGCTGCCTGTGGACAAGCAGCAGGTGCGTGGACAAGCAGCAGGTGCGTGGACAAGCAGCAGGTGCGTGACCTACTGTTTTAAGAGCTCCCATCCAATCCTCATTTCACAAGTGCCATGTGTGTCTTTCCCACCCCTCAGCCCCCCTGGATGACCAGTACCATGCACCTTCTCTCCCCACTACTTCCCAACCCTAACCCCCATTCCCCCTAGCACGCCATCCGCTTTCGTCCCTCTCTTCTCGCCCTCCCATCGTCCCCCCTTATAGGAGCTGCTGCTGTCGGAGGTGGCGAGCAGCCGCTTCCCGTTCGGCCCCGAGGGGCAGCCGGTGGCGGCGTGCATGGTGTACCGTGCGCTGCTGCAGTGGGGCGCGCTGGAGGCGGAGCGGACCAACACGTTCGACCGCATCGTGGAGGCCTTCCAGCGTGGCTCCACCGACCAGCTGCTGCCCTCGCAGGCCTACTGGCTCACCAACCACGTCGTGCTCTACTACCTCGTGCAGGTGCGTGCTCTACTACCTCGTGCAGGTGCGTGCTCTACTACCTCGTGCAGGTCCGCACATACAATGCCCTGCGAGTCCATTTATTTTGACACAACTTATGGCTGGTACCAAGAGTAAGTGCGTTAATAACCCCTATAGTTGGTACTAGACATAGGCAACTGGCGAACACCAAAGATGTTCGGTTTTCCCTGAACGAACATGTGAAGGGGGCGAAGCGAACATGTTCCCGAACCTTTTTTTGGGATTTAGGGTGTTGGAGGTTCGTGATACGGGGCGAACATCTGCATGTTCGGGGCGAACCCAAACATGTTCGAGGTTCGGAAGTGTGTGTTCAGTGGGCCAGCTCCTCCCCCGTCGCCTCCATCTCCCTCCCTTCCGAACATCAAACGTGTTTGGCCGAACATTTTTTGACAAAAGACATGTTTGGTTCGGTTCGGTCACAAACATGTTCGGGCGAACCGAACAGGTATTAGGAGATTTACTCATGTCTAGTTGGTACTAAGTGTAAGTGCATTACTCACACTCATGGTTGGTGGTTGTGTTGCACACTTGTATTTAGTACCAACTGCAAGGGTAAGTAAAGCACTTACACTAAGAACCATCCATAAGGGTAGGTAACGCACTTACATTTAGAACTGTTTGCCTGGACACCTGCGTGACTAGAGCTGCGCGGGTACGCATTGGAGGTCGCAATCACCATTTTCCGACCTGATTTTCGAGCACGTCCCCACCTAATTACCATTTCGTCCACGATTGTCTGATCCGGACAATTTTGAGGAATATCATGAACTAACAAAATCGCCGACCCGCCACAATATTAAAATGCGACAGGTCGGTCGACCCGATTTGCCATCAGGTCGACCCGACCCGCCTTCGAACCACAGCCGACCCACGCCTATAAGCCCGAGTTGGGTCGAGTTTCCGGGGGTTCTTACCTCGGGTCGGGTCCGCCCGACCTGACCCGGTACCCGCCTCGGGTCGAGCATAGGCATGGGCATTTGGCTCTGCCCGGCCCGACTTGGCCGGGCCAAGCGGGTTCTCGGGCCGGGTCGGGTCGGGTCAGCCTCGGGCCAGGATGTTGAATATCCTGACCCGACCCGGGGGTACAGACAGGGCCAGGTCTTTCCTGACCCGACTTTGGGTCCGGCCGACCCGAGGTCGGGTTGGGTCAGGTAACCCGCTTTCTCCCATGCTCTGTGCTGATCGGCGCTTTCGTCCGCTGATCTGCACAGATCGGCGATTTTGTTGGCGTAACTGTGCAGATCATCAATTTCACTGGTTGATCAGGGGATCGGGATTTTTGTTAGAATATAGCATATGTCAGTTTATAATGGTGCAAGTGTTACACCCAATGTGGATGTACACTTTGGACCAGGTTTGGTTGGTTGCACCCCAAACCCACTCGACCGCAATTAAAGGGGGAAACCAACTTGGCTGGTTCATCCAACCATTATTCCCCCCCCCCCCCACCCCCCCAATTATTGACAGTCAGCCCAAAGTTGGTGACCATTCTTATTAATCCACCAATAATGCTTTGGGTACCTCTCCAAGTTACCCTCACGTTTCTCTCCTATATGTACCCACGTTTTTCTTGACATAAACTCTTGAATTCATCTCTCTTTTCAACCATGAGATTCTCACAATTTTTGCCGATGATTTACTCACCCTGGCACTAGCTTCCAACAAACTTTGTTGGAACAAACATTTCCAACCAATTCGCTACAGCTCACCACTCCTTACCGCACTAAATCTACAATTCGCAACCCCCCCTCCCACTCTTTACAGATCTCTCGACATTGAGTCTCTCCATATAGTCGACTATTTACTTGTCGCATCATTCTTTAGCTGCAAACTTTAAGGTTCCTAGGTGCCATTGATTGCTGAAGAAAGGAACTTAGGGTTGTGGGAAGGAATTGATGTCGAGTAGATAAAATAACCCTCGACATCCATGTGTTGGAGTGTCCTGTCCCCCCTGTGTCGACATCCATGTGTTGGAGTGTCCTGTCCCCCCTGTGTCGAAATCGGGTCGGGTCAGTTGTGACCTGAAGTCGGGTCAGGTCAACGCGGGCCAAAGGCCCGGCCCGAGTTCCCTGCTCTGGTCGGGTTTTATCCCGGGTCGGGTCGGGCCGACCTGCCCGGGGCATGCTATTTAAACCCCTGACCCGACCCGGGCAAAATCACGCCCGACCGACCCGAGCGGGCCTCCTGCTTATGCCTAGTCGAGCAAACGGTTTGAGTCTGGTCGGGTCGACCCGTTGCCCATGGCACCTGGTGTGCAAGCCCCCAATAGCAAGACATCCTTCCGTTTCCCTCCCGCCGCCCCTCTTTACCCTGAGCTGCTGTGCACAGCCCTCAGCGGCAGCAAGAGCTAGCCACGCTGCCGGCAGCAAGAGCTAGCCACGCTGCCGGCAGCAAGAGCTAGCCACGCTGCCGGCAGCAAGAGCTAGCCACGCTGCCCGTAAACACACTCTACAGCTGCTGTGTCGTCCTCCCCTTCCCACACCGCCTCTGCCCCCAGGTGGTGTACCAGCCGCCAGTGGAGCAGCCCGCCCAGGAGAGCTTCTCCTTCTCCTTCTTCGGCATGGCCTCCCGCCCCGCCGCTCCTGTCAGTGCCCCACCCTCTCACATCCCTCCACGCTCTCACATCCCTCCACGCTCTCACATCCCTCCACCCTCTCACATCCCTCCACCCTCTCACATCCCGCCACCCCCACACATCCTTCCACCCTCTCACTCCCCTCCACTCTCTCACTCCCCTCCACTCTCTCACTCCTCCACCCTCTCACATCCCTCCACCCTCTCACTTCCCTCCACCCTCTCACTCCCCTCCACCCTCTCACTCCTCCAACATCTCACATCCCTCCACCCTCTCACTCCTCTCCACCTTCTCACTCCCCTCCCTCCACACTCTCTCTTCCCCCCACCCTCTCACTCCCCTCCACCCTCTCACTCCCTTTCGCTCCTGAACCCTTCTGCAATCTCACTTCCCTCCACCCTCTCGTTCTGTTCCACTCTCACTTCCTTCCACCCTCTCACCCCCGCGGCGGGGGCCCTGCCCACCTCTCTCTCCCGCCATCCCGTCCATCGTGCCAGCCCAAGGCAGCGGTGGAGAGAGTGGATGTGATGCTGTTCAAGCAGCAGCTGGCCACGGGCACGGAGCGCCTCTTCGTCACCATCAGGGACGCCGCCAAGGCCGAGCTCGCCAAGCACTTTGCCCTGCCCTCGCAGGTCGGTGGGACACATGAGCACCTTGGTTTGGGGGACCTTGGTTGGGGGCAGAAGCAGCAGTGGGCGCGACTAGTACGGCATGGCTGTCATTCATGGGCGATTCCCACTTAAGTGATCCGCTCTGGCTCCCTGCTGCTCACCCACCTCACCCATCCTCCGCCTGCCTCTACTCGTCACTGCCGCCAAGAATAGTACTCCCAGCGTCACTCCCACGTGTGCCTCCCCCCCCCCCCTTCCCTTTCCCCCGCCTTCCCCCTCGCAGGAATCTCAGGACGCGGCAGCGGAAGCAGAGGGCGACCAAGCAGCCGGTGACGCAGCGGCAGGGAAGGGCGGCAAGGCGGGCGGCGGAGGGGGGAGGCGGCTGGCGCGGGGGAGGGCGAGGGGAGGGGGGCGGTCGGGGGCAGCGATGGTGCGGAAGCACGTGGTGAACTACTGGGCCAACGTGGTGGTCACTCTCAAGCAGGTGAACTACCGGGACATTCGTGTGTGCTCCTTCCATGAATCACTTTTCCATGAATACTATGGCATGGCATGCCATGGCATGTAATCCCGTCCCCCCATTCCCCCCATCCTTGGATAACCCCTATCCTCCAAGTAATCCATCATTCAATTCTTCAAACCCCCCTCCCTCCTCACCCACCCGCTCTTTCTCCGCGCCACCCCCTTCTCTTCCCCCTCCAAGGTGACGGCCACACTGGCAGCGAACCACGTGCCGGCGGTGGTGGTGGATGCGCTGCTGCGGCAGCTGCTATTCTTCGTAAATGTCAAGATCGTCAACGGGTGAGCACCACAAACATGACCGACCGGCATCCGTGACACTTAACTATAATTTGTCTAGGCCGAGGAGGGTTGGGGTGTGAGCTGTAATGAGAGACGGTTGTGCACGACGGTTGTGCACTTAAAGACTTTTCTAATACACAAATGCAGAAAATATTGGTTGGCTCAGCTCATGAATAAAATCGATGCTTCTTTCCACTTCTGTGCTCTTCCACTTTTCATTTTACTGCAATCTCAATACTTACTTCCCACTCATGCAGCTAATGCAATCTCAACCTCCTCTCCTTCCCCCCAACAGGCTGATGGTGCGCGCGCAGTGGTGTCCGTGCACGTACAGCAACGGGGAGCTGATGGAGGAGGGGCTGGGGCGGCTGGAGCAGTGGGTGCACGACGTGGAGGTGCAGCTGCGAGACGCCATGGGCGGCAGCAAGGAGCCCCTCAAGCGCGAGCTCCGACACATCCGCCAGGCCATCTACTTCCTCGTGAGTCATCTACTTCCTCGTGAGCCATCTACTTCCTCGTGAGCCATCTACTTCCTCGTGAGTCATCTACTTCCTCGTGAGTCATCTACTTCCTCGTGAGCCATCTACTTCCTCGTGAGCCATCTACTTCCTCGTGAGTCATCTACTTCCTCGTGAGCCATCTACTTCCTCGTGAGCCATCTACTTCCTCGTGAGCCATCTACTTCCTCGTGAGCCATCTACTTCCTCGTGAGCCATCTACTTCCTCGTGAGCCATCTACTTCCTCGTGAGCCATCTACTTCCTCGTGAGCCATCTACTCGTGAGCCATCTACTTCCTCGTGAGCCATCTACTTCCTCGTGAGCCATCTACTTCCTCGTGAGCCATCTACTTCCTCGTGAGCCATCTACTTCCTCGTGAGCCATCTACTTCCTCGTGAGCCATCTACTTCCTCGTGAGCCATCTACTTCCTTGTGAGCCATCTACTTCCTCGTGAGCCATCTACTTCCTCGTGAGCCATCTACTTCCTTGTGAGCCATCTACTTCCTTGTGAGCCATCTACTTCCTCGTGAGCCATCTACTTCCTCGTGAGCCATCTACTTCCTCGTGAGCCATCTACTTCCTCGTGAGCCATCTACTTCCTCGTGAGCCATCTACTTCCTCGTGAGCCATCTACTTCCTCGTGAGCCATCTACTTCCTCGTGAGCCATCTACTTCCTCGTGAGCCATCTACTTCCTCGTGAGCCATCTACTTCCTCGTGAGCCATCTACTTCCTCGTGAGCCATCTACTTCCTCGTGAGCCATTCTAGTGAGCTATCTACTTCCTCGTGAGCCATCTACTTCCTCGTGAGCCATCTACTTCCTCGTGAGCTATCTACTTCCTCGTGAGCCATCTACTTCCTCGTGAGCCATCTACTTCCTCGTGAGCCATCTACTTCCTCGTGGGCCATCTACTTCCTCGTGGGCCATCTACTTCCTCGTGAGCCATCTACTTCCTCGTGAGCCATCTACTTCCTCGTGAGCCATCTACTTCCTCGTGAGCCATCTACTTCCTCGTGAGCCATCTACTTCCTCGTGAGCCATCTACTTCCTCGTGAGCCATCTACTTCCTCGTGAGCCATCTACTTCCTAGTGAGCCATCTACTTCCTCTTGAGCCATCTACTTCCTCGTGAGCCATCTACTTCCTCGTGAGCCATCTACTTCCTCGTGAGCCATCTACTTCCTCGTGAGCCATCTACTTCCTCGTGAGCCATCTACTTCCTCGTGAGCCATCTACTTCCTCGTGAGCCATCTACTTCCTTGTGAGCCATCTACTTCCTCGTGAGCCATCTACTTCCTCGTGAGCCATCTACTTCCTTGTGAGCCATCTACTTCCTTGTGAGCCATCTACTTCCTCGTGAGCCATCTACTTCCTCGTGAGCCATCTACTTCCTCGTGAGCCATCTACTTCCTCGTGAGCCATCTACTTCCTCGTGAGCCATCTACTTCCTCGTGAGCCATCTACTTCCTCGTGAGCCATCTACTTCCTCGTGAGCCATCTACTTCCTCGTGAGCCATCTACTTCCTCGTGAGCCATCTACTTCCTCGTGAGCCATCTACTTCCTCGTGAGCCATCTACTTCCTCGTGAGCCATCTACTTCCTCGTGAGCTATCTACTTCCTCGTGAGCCATCTACTTCCTCGTGAGCCATCTACTTCCTCGTGAGCTATCTACTTCCTCGTGAGCCATCTACTTCCTCGTGAGCCATCTACTTCCTCGTGAGCCATCTACTTCCTCGTGGGCCATCTACTTCCTCGTGGGCCATCTACTTCCTCGTGAGCCATCTACTTCCTTGTGAGCCATCTACTTCCTCGTGAGCCATCTACTTCCTCGTGAGCCATCTACTTCCTCGTGAGCCATCTACTTCCTCGTGAGCCATCTACTTCCTCGTGAGCCATCTACTTCCTCGTGAGCCATCTACTTCCTAGTGAGCCATCTACTTCCTCTTGAGCCATCTACTTCCTCGTGAGCCATCTACTTCCTCGTGAGCCATCTACTTCCTCGTGAGCCATCTACTTCCTCGTGAGCCATCTACTTCCTCGTGAGCCATCTACTTCCTCGTGAGCCATCTACTTCCTCGTGAGCCATCTACTTCCTCGTGAGCCATCTACTTCCTCGTGAGCCATCTACTTCCTCGTGAGCCATCTACTTCCTCGTGAGCCATCTACTTCCTCGTGAGCCATCTACTTCCTAGTGAGCCATCTACTTCCTCTTGAGCCATCTACTTCCTCGTGAGCCATCTACTTCCTCGTGAGCCATCTACTTCCTCGTGAGCCATCTACTTCCTCGTGAGCCATCTACTTCCTCGTGAGCCATCTACTTCCTCGTGAGCCATCTACTTCCTCGTGAGCTATCTACTTCCTCGTGAGCCATCTACTTCCTCGTGAGCCATCTACTTCCTCGTGAGCCATCTACTTCCTCGTGGGCCATCTACTTCCTCGTGGGCCATCTACTTCCTCGTGAGCCATCTACTTCCTTGTGAGCCATCTACTTCCTCGTGAGCCATCTACTTCCTCGTGAGCCATCTACTTCCTCGTGAGCCATCTACTTCCTCGTGAGCCATCTACTTCCTCGTGAGCCATCTACTTCCTCGTGAGCCATCTACTTCCTAGTGAGCCATCTACTTCCTCTTGAGCCATCTACTTCCTCGTGAGCCATCTACTTCCTCGTGAGCCATCTACTTCCTCGTGAGCCATCTACTTCCTCGTGAGCCATCTACTTCCTCGTGAGCCATCTACTTCCTCGTGAGCCATCTACTTCCTCTTTAACCCCATCTACTTCCTCGTTAACCCCATGTTCTTCCTCGTTAACCCCATGTTCTTCCTCGTTAACCCCATGTTCTTCCTCGTTAACCCCATGTTCTTCCTCGTTAACCCCATGTTCTTCCTCGTTAACCCCATGTTCTTCCTCGTTAACCCCATGTTCTTCCTCGTTAACCCCATGTTCTTCCTCGTTAATCCCATGTTCTTCCTCGTTAACCCCATGTTCTTCCTCGTTAACCCCATGTTCTTCCTCGTCAACCCCATGTTCTTCCTCGTTAACCCCATGTTCTTCCTCGTTAACCCCATGTTCTTCCTCGTTAACCCCATGTTCTTCCTCGTTAACCCCATGTTCTTCCTCGTTAACCCCATGTTCTTCCTCGTTAACCCCATGTTCTTCCTCGTTAACCCCATGTTTTCTTGTCCCGCTGCTAATACCAGCCAAATCCCCCACCTGCCACCTCAGGAACAACTCTTCTCTGGCCACCTGCATAACTTTCCTCTTCCTCCCACTGCCTCATCCATCCCCCCATTGTGCTGGATGGGATGGCTCAGCAGTCCACACCTATGTCCGCAACCCAGTCGCTGTCGTTTCTCATGCCCTTCCAACACCCTGGCCCCACCCTCACCAATTGTCCGCTGCTTCCCCTCCCCCCCACCTCCTCCCCTTCGCTCCTCACTGCATCTCCCTTTGCCCTCCCTCAGACGCTGGACCACAAGCCGCGGCGGTCGCTGGAGGAGATAGAGGAGCTGTGTCCGGACCTCACGCTGAACCAGCTGGTGCACATGTGCATCTGGTACGAGGACGACGCGTACGGCACCAAGGGCGTCGACCCCTCCGTCACCGAGCGCATGTGGGCGCTCATGGTGGATGACTGCCCCATGCTGCTCCGCGACGACGACAGGTGAGGGGTGCCCATGCTGCTCCGGGATGATGAGAGGTGAGTGGAGGGCGTGGGTGGGTGCGGATGGGTGTGGGTGGGCATGGGTGGGTGTAGGTGGGCTTGGGTGGACGTGGGTGGGCGTGGGTGGGCCATGTGTGGGCGTGAGTGGGCCATGTGTGGGCGTGGGTGGGCCATGTGTGGGCGTGGGTGGGCCATGTGTGGGCGTGGGTGGGCCATGTGTGGGCGTGGGTGGGCCATGTGTGGGCGTGGGTGGGCATGCACATGACGGCATGCATGCTGTGCTTGTATGGACGACAACGTGCCCACACTCTTCAACTCTCCATTTCTTTTTCCCCGCATTTTCTCCTCTCTCCCCTAATCCCTCCTATATCTCATCCGACCCGTCCTCATCCCTCCCTCCTACGACCCCTTCCCCCCTCCACCGCCAGCATCCCGTTCACAGTGGACGAGATAGCCCTCGCCATCCCCGCCATGCACATTGATGACTTGGACCCGCCGCCCGAGCTGCAGCAGGACCCCGCCTTCCACTTCCTGCTGCCCTACAGCGCCGCCGCCCCTCACACCGGCACTCCTCTCCCCTCCACGCCCTCCATGCCTACCCATGCCACCTCCTCCGACCGCTCCATCCACCTGCCCGTGCGCTCCGCTTCTGCCGCTGGCGACTACAGCTCCCCCGCCACCACGCCCCGTGCCGCCACCACGCCCCGTGCCGCCACCCCCACCCCCGCACCCGAGACATCATCCTTTAGCGCCTGGGACCTGCTCAGGGCGGGCGCGTGGCGCCGCGCTGTGCAGCCCGAATGAAGGGGAAAGGGAAAAGAAATGGGGGGTGGAAAG